AGAGAGAAAGTCAGCCCCCAGTATAATTAAGGAAATTAACATTTCTTACCATGATACCCCTGTCAGACTGAAACCGGTCTTCTCTTAAGTAACCAAAGAGGTTTATATCTACCAATTCAATGTTTTTTGAGATGCATTGGTACTGTATACAGTATGAAAAAAATAATAATTAAGAATCAGTGTAGGTGAAATAATAAGCAAACAACTAGTATACTTAGCACAATAAATGGGTCATTAGAATCAGGAGGCTAAACAATCGGGAAGCTTAGGGCCTTCCATTCATCAGCTGATGCTGAGCTGGAAGTTGGATGGGCAGAAAGACTGATCCTAAACATACAAGCAACAGAAAGCCTGAAGAAGAAGAAATTCTGCAGTTTGGCCAAGTCATAGTCATAAACGCCACTGAAATGTTATGGCAGGACCTGAAGTGAGCTGTTCGTGCAAGGAAACCCTCAAACCCTCAAAAACTGATCTGAAGACGTTTTGTAAGAACAACTGATAACAACCGAAATTCCCAAAATCTGATCCACAAGACCAATGAACAGTTACAGGAGATGTCCTGTTGACGTCATTGCTACTCATGGAGGTGCCACCAGTTGCTAAATTTTGGAGTTCAGATACTTATTCACATGGGGATATTTACTGTTGGATCATTCTGCTAATTAAATATTCCTAAAATATTGTTATGGTTATTGGAAGGGGCTATGTGGTTGCCTATGAATTTAGAGGTAATGGTCAAACACCTGGCTTGTGTCAACATTTGCAGTTCTGTGGAGCTTCAAAGCAAGAAAGCTACTGGGGTGTTTGTTGCATGGTATGAGGTCTGGAAACATCAATTAAAGGAATTATTTGGTTCACCTTGGTTAATTAAGCTCTAGGTTAACGATTAAGAGTCATCAACATTCCAAGAACAGAGGATAAAAAGAGGAAAAGAAAGGAAGGACAGGGGAGTAGACAGACAGACACGAGGACAGGTGAGAAAGTATTCGCCAGGCGAGAGGTCATTGTCCAGATCATCTGGAGAGACCAGATTTGAGTTCAGTATTTGAACCGTGTCAAGACAGCTTTCCATTCTGTTGTCTGAAACTCTGATTTCCTGTGCAGACAATCCCTAGGATAAAATGGATTCTCCTGGTTAAGGGATGCAATTTTAGAATAAAGAAATAAGTTTCCAATTCACTTTGTAGCTTCCAGATTTATAGAGAGAGACTCAACTAAAAGGCAGGTTGATCTCTCTTGTTGGCTTGTATAGGAGATATATAGGATCTTTGAAAACTTGATACTGTCACGAACGGTGTGATGAACCCTATGCAGGTCGGGTAGGGAACTAGTCCGGTAGGGCAAGGCAAGGACAGAATCGGGAATGCAGGCAGGGTCGTATCCGAAGGGCAGTAAATCCAGCGGGCGAGACGAAGACGTAGTCGGGAAGGCAGGCAGGGTCGTTTTCCAAGAGGCTAGAAGAAGAAAGGGAATCACAAGGTTCGAAAGTGGGAGCTAGGAAATGGGAAGACTGTTTGATACCAAGCGGTGAAGTGAAGGTTGAGGAGGTTTCTATAGCAGGTGCAGTGAGAAGGGAGAGATGGATGATTAGTTTGTGCGTTGTCGTTTCGGAAATTGGATCAGGTTGATGTCTGATTGACAGGGGTCGTGGGAATGCGCCGGCGTTTATCTGAATTCTGCGGTTGATTATTTGAGAGTGTGACAGATACATTCTGGGGGTTTTCTGGTTGGTCAGGATATACAGCTCCAAGATGCCTTGTCTGAAAATAGAGTACCTTGTTACTTTAAATATATATTTGTTTAACCCAGTGTGCCTGATTTATTACTCTTTTCTCCAAAGCTGTGCCAGAGAACAAAAGTCTCAGGTGCCTCTAATTATACCAAGTGCTTGGTTATATTCTTTATTATTTGAGGGTAATGATTATGTATTTATATTGATTAGTCTATTTCCTATATTCGTTATTTTCTTAAACCCCTGTTTGTAACAATACATAAAGATTACATTTTCTCAGCACTATACCTGCTCATTTCCTGTAGCCATTTGCTTTAGTTTCTGCCTTCTTTTTTTGTCTTGTTTTAGTGTAAATTACCTCAAGATGACGTGAAACGTGCTGTATAAAATAGCGACCTTTATTACCGGATTTAACAGAGAGAAGGAAATGAAACTGCCAGCCACCAGCCCTGCCTTGGCCAGAGTCAGATCTGATGGTTGACCTGTAAGAGGCTACAGTGTCTGTGATTAATATCTGTTTTCTACAGCACATGAAGGTTCCTCCATATGCATATGATGAAACATTTAGGTTGATTGGTTAAATCCAATCATCTTTCCTTCAATACTCTGCTGTGTGCAGTAGCTCCACCCCTCATTGTAACTTAATTGTAAGGACCTACAGAACATTTCCCTTCCACCACATTTCCTCCATTATTATCAGTGTCCCATCCACTGGTGAAGTATTTAAAAAGCTTCTTAGTAAAAAAACAAGACAGTTACCACAGCGACGATAAAAATTCCTCCACAACACAGCAGCAGGTCTAGAAGGGTCACATGAAAAATGTCGGCACACACAGATGGTAATAAGTCATCCAGTATATATAGCATCTTTACTATAGAACTACAGTAGATTGGCCAATTGTGTTTGCTATATCGTCCCAATATGGATGATCCAATGGGGTGGTTTTCACATCTTGTCTTGCAGCGCTGGTTGGTGGAGAGTTATGTCTCTCACCAATAGTACCACATGCCTGTAGGCACCTGGGACACCACAGGAGGCGCTGTGGAGCAGAGAGTGCTGGACAACTACACCCACACTCCGCATGGCGGAGTGGTGGCTCAGTCAATTGAGTTAGGAGGCTCCCCTGTACTGCCTTTAAAAGCAATCATCTTCAAGCATAGAGAAAGAAACATAAAAAATGAATAATCCCCAAGATCACTGCAGGATGTTCATCAGTAGAGCTCCAAGAAGAAAGAAGGGCTTAGTCATTGTCTTCAGATAACCCGAAACCAGAAAACATGATTGCTTGGTTAACCTCTTATAGGGCCTATGAAGTTGAATCAAGGACATCTGATTAACACAATAGGAAAGATGATAAACACAAAAGGCAAAAGGAATTGTGATTTGTCTTGAAATCTGTGTTAATTCATAAGAGACCATGGCGCTCAAAAGAAATAATTTCTTGTGTTACCTCTTACCGACAGTTTTTGTTACAGTTGTCTTCAGTAATTCCATCTTCATCCTGATCCCAGATGTCAACGGCAGAAAAAATCAAGGCCACCAGGACAGCGAAACAGCACACCAGGGCGAAGACCACAATGCATTTCTGCTGAGACTGCAAAAGCAAAACAAACCATTTATTTTGCTTATTTGTGTTACCTGGGTAATCTTCAAGAGCTCCTAATCTGTGCTTGACTGCATAGCAATAGAAAATTATGAACAGAAATGTTTTATGAATGGAATATTGCATGAAAATTACTGCTCAAAAGAACATTCACCAACAAAAGCTGGACTTTAAAGAAGACACTACTATTATCAGTTTACGGAAACGTGTTCATAGTAGGACCAAATAAAATTGCTAAATATTGCAGCTTGGTAAAATTATTGCCTCATTTGCATTCTGATCCTGACATTACCTGACTTAAACAGATCGATCAGGTCTTGGACTCTCTAGCACTTATCATGATTTCACTGTGCTTTGCTGTACTGGATTATATCATTCAAATGTTATAGCATAACACATTGTTAGAAGGCCATCTGGAAATTAAGTGCTCCTTTTGAAGAGTTCCCTGGGCTCCATTGTGGTCCCTTAACTTTGACAACACATGTGGTGTCACTGGTAAGGCACCATTGCTTCAGAAGATTATTTTGGGACTATAAACCAGAATGACTCCCAAGGTGGCCCTCACCCGTCTTTAGTTTGTTCAATCATCAATCAATTCATATCAGTTGATATAACAAAGGTGTTATTTTCATCTTAGAAGTATATGTAAGCGTTCTCCTGGTTTGCAGTTTTTTCAGTGGCCTGTGATAATATATGTTTCTATCTGGAAAAGGCATTTTCACCTACTTTCACCTGCTGTACTTAAAACGGAAGAGAACTTTGTAGAAATCTTTTTCATCTCAATAGAGCACAAAAGTATGATTCATTTAAATCCGCTTTGCTATAAATCATTACCAAATTAATAAAGAATATTAATACACACAATGTGTTATGTTAATTAAAGTAATGCAATATAGTAATAAATATGATTTATTAGCAATTAATTATTAATTTGGGCTGAAATCTGAAAGCATTACAATGTTTACAAGTGAAATCCGGCCACGGCTCTATAGCCCATCTGCAGTCTTAAAGATGACAGAACAGCACAAATCCTTTCGAATCCTCCTGCTCCCCTGCTTTGTAACAGTTACGTACAGTACAGCACCAGGGCCTTTGCCAGATCAAAGAATACATGACAGGATCTGCTGTTTCTGCAGGAGCCTGATTTCTGTTTGCAGGTGGGCTAATGAAAAATGTATCCCTGAAAATGAAAGTGGAATTGAGCAGATCAAAGAGAGAGCGCTGCTCCTGCTTCCAGACGGCTGCCCTTTGTCTCCTGCTCACCTCGCATTCTGTGCACGCGACCTCCCTCGTCTCCCTTCTGTCCGAAGACTGACAGCCCTGCGAACTCTGTGTGGGTTTGTCTGGACCCTCTGAGCCCGTGTTGCCTACAGAGCTGAGCACAGAGTCTGGCTGCTGTCACCAGGGGAATCTGCACAGGACTCTGTCAGCTTCTCAATCACCTTTTTCATATCAACAAGAGCATTTTATGCACCAATATCAAAAGCAGTTGCCTTTTAATTCTTCGCAATTCTGGGCTTCCCAGTGCTATGGCACTGAGACTGAGCTTTGGGCCCATCGGTAGCTCAGCACTGAGCTCTTACCCTATTTCCTTAAGTTTTGCAAGAAGCTCAGGCTACAGGGTGAGCCTAATTCAGGAGTCTTCAGATGGGCTTTGACCCTTAACTGGTGTTAACAGCACTGCTCCAAGGAGCCCTTCTGCAGACCTACAGTATAAGAAGGTTATGATTGAGAAGTGGCCATTTGGCCCATTCTGCTAATTTGGTTGCTTGTGTCTCATGCTTCTAATTACTCCATTCAAACTGCTGTTGACAGGATCCAAGTGAAACAACTCTGACAGCTCCTTATGAAAAGAAGTGCTTGCAATTTTCCTTCCTAAATGGATCTGCAATTGCGCTTCTGTAACTGGGTTTGTGCATTGAGCCAGTTAGAGAAGAGACGTCACCTTCTCTGAGGGCCTGGCCAGAGTTATCTGCTGCCACAGAGTGGCAGTGTGAGGGTTTTCAGAGCACATAAGAGCCTGGGACTGAATCCTGGCAGCAGCAGGGTTGCAAGCATTACACTTCTCCTACATGCTTGTTTACCACTTCTGCAAAGGGGAGACCCTCTAGAAAGTATAACTGCCCTCTTATAGCTCTTTTGCACAAGAGAGCTCTGCATCCTAGGAAGTCAAGTGAATTCACAACTAAGGTACTTTCACAAGCGTAAACCCCTCCTCTTAAGGACGCTCCAGCCCTTCCTTGTTCAGTACTAATTCCCTGCACCTGCCTCTGGTTCCTGCCCCCCGTCCTATAAAAGCCGGGCGCTCACTCTGTTCTGGGCTCTGCATTGGTTCCTGTACCAGGCGAGTCCGGGACCTGGAAGCGCCTGGTCCCGTCAAGGTTTTTAAGTACCTGTTCCTGCATGTTCCGACCCGGTTCCAGTTTTAATTCCATTTGTCTTGGATGGACCGCCTGGCTCTGGATTTTGCCTTCTCTTGGATTCCCCATTGGACTCAGTTTTGGACAGTTTGCCCCGGCCACACCTTCCCTGAACACCAGCGCACTATGGACACGCCCCCTGTTTTCAGTCCTGACCCCTGCATGCCTTTTCCTCCGTGTTTTCCTCACTCTACCCCAGATTGTGTCGTCTGCATAGGGTCCGGAAAGAACACTTTCATGACAGGTACCACTGAGGTCTGACTGAAAAGGAAAAAACAACGAGCACCAAGAACACTGCATTCTTGTTCTGTGACATTAGGGTTATCAAAAAACCTTGGAGTTTAGATGTGACAGAAGAACGTGTTAAGACTGCAAGTTACGCACTTGCAGAGCAAACCCTACAGTGCTCAACCTGATGCACCAGCTTGACTTCTCGAAGCAATACAATGCAGAACAAATTTGATCTGGGCCAAGGGAGCTGTAAAAACAAAGTCTAAGCAAACAGAAAGCCAGTTAAAAGGCATTATACAGACCTCACTGAAATAAGAATAAGCAGTGAAGCTGGATTTTTTATCTGTGAGGGATGTGGTACAGTACCTAAGAACTGAGGAGCTCTTGAAGGTAGGGGGGTCCTGACTCACCAAAGGCTTATACAGTATGTTAGTAGCTACATTAAAGTCACTCCAGAAACTCACAGGTAACCAATGCAAAGGCCTCAGCACTGGAAGAATGTGGTCAGACAGTCTATAACCTGGCAGCGGCTTTCTGAACAAGCTGGCACCTTTTGAAATAAGGACTTACAGAGGTCAAGGTAGCAGTGTGGGGGCACGAACCTGCTATGCTTATTTAGTGTTCCTCTGGTGACTGATATCAGGTCCAGGCAGTGATGTAGTGTAACTAAATTCTCAATTCTGTCAAGAATTCAAGAGGTCAGGACACAGTGAATTGTAACTACTGGTGACGGCGGTGAAGATCTGCTGTAAATTACTAAAATAGGTCATTTGCATTCAGAACCCATCAGTTTTTAATAACCAATCACAATCGTATCTTATAATACAGTAACTACTGCAACACAGTGTTACCACTGAAAGAGACAGGAGGAAAAGAAATCTAAACCCTTTGCTGACAGGCCGACATCTTGACTGTACACATTCAGAATGACATCATTATCCGTGACATCAACTGCAGCAGACAGTTCTGGATGGCTCCTTCAGACCAGAAATGCAGAACATGAAAATGAAACAAGCTTGTCCTAGTCTGCATCTACAGAGTGTTAATATATTTTCTTAATCAGTTTTTATTTGCTTTTAAGGTTAACAGTAAATAACAGGTTGTCAGCATGCCCACTTCCCAGAATAAAAAAAATATCATGGTTCATCTGTACAAAAGGAAAATAAAATAAACTTCACAATACTATGTTACGGCACACAGGGCGGAAACTGTACAGCACTCCAGTTCCAAAACCATGATCGAAAAAAAAAACTAAACGGATCAGGAGGGGAGTATACTTTCAGTATACTTCCAGAGGGGTGACCAAATATTCCAGAAATGCTCAGACCCCGAGAGGAGATCATGCCAGTTTTTCTAGAGGTAGAAATACAGCTACTTGAGAAAGACACTTCAGCAGTCGGTGCCTTGGGAACAGACCATAGCAGCAAAATACCTTCCTCTGCAAAGTGAACAAGCATAGAGAATAACCACTCTGAAGCTTAGTCACTGTGTAGGTGTTACAAGTCAGCAGACATAGTAAAATGTATATCCAAGAGTTCTTCAGTGACAGAATGTACATTGCTCCAGTATTGCTTTATTTTACCTCATTGATTGCCAAAATAGCTGAATAAAAGTGCCAATCTGAGACTGGCATTTGTAACACTGGTTTGGTGTATCTGGGTATATCTTTTGTAGGCGGACTGGAGTTGGATAGAATTCCTTGAGAAATTTGATATTAAGATTTAGTCTGGCAATAGAAGTGCACTTCGAGTGCAGTTTCTCACAAACTGTGAAGCAGTCCTCCTCAGTAAAAGCATGCCCCAGATCTCACTCCCAGAAAGTGTTCAGGGTCGCAATTATGAAAACGTACAGTGACTAACCAATATGCTGCTGTATATAACTTTGATAATATTCCCTAATAACTAACAGAAATTACTATTGTTTTTTCAATCTCAGTGAGCACAAATTGCAATCTATTATCTTTGATAAGGGACAAAATGTAGTGCCGTAACTGTAGAAATGTTTGGAACTCAGATGTGGGAATATTATCTTCAGCTTTGATCTGATCAAAATATTTTAAAACATCTGATGAAAGGAGACAGGAGGCGGAAATATCTAAAATTCCCTTTTCTCATCCAGTCGAGAAGATCTAGAGTTTTCATTTGTGGAGGGAAGTCAGGACTAAGAAGAAGCAATAGAAGATAATAGGGATGGAGCTATTAACATAAAGTATGATCTAGCATCCCTCCTGAGCAGAAGAGTATTGAATATTGAAAACCACAAATTTATCTGACAAACTCCCCATCTGATTAAAGTCATTAATAAAGGCTGTGATTGCAGGGGTAGTTGGTGACATGCTAC